AGTTTATTTTCGTGCAGTTTGAAGTTCGAACGCCACCAAAGTCTGTGTTCAAAGCCAGATGTGTGTCAAAGAAATGGAATAATTTCATCGAGAAACCTTTGTTTCCTATTATGCAGAAAGGAGAAAAGGGTTGTGTGGTCGTCTGTTAGGCTTTATGCAATGTATGGTAGAGAATCCAGTTAGAAATCCCAATCCCATTTTTGAACCCCCAATCACTTACCTACCTCTTTTCGGTGAACAAATAGGTATCATCTCAAGTAAACATGGCAACTCTATTTCTTCATCCAATGGGCTTGACCTTTGTGGTTACCACCTAAAGACTTATTCCATAGCGAATCCTTTAACTAAAAAGTCATGTCCCTGCCATCGCCCCATAATGGTTAGTAGAAATAGCTTATCCATTTGTCATTGAAGAAGAGGGTCTACGATATACCATTGCCTAGTATGATCCAAAAGACATTGGAGTGAGTTGTTGTGGGCTGCCTCTCTATTATGGTATTAGGTCTCTTCATTTGTCATTGGGCTTTTCTGTGTTTGGCCACCAGGTTGTTTTACTTTAATGAAATGTGTTATAGAAAAAGCTTTTTTGCCTTAACTGGATTGGTTGATCTTGGCCTTACATATGGCATACTCATGACCATTGGATGATATGTTTTTGGATGGATTTGATAACCTTTCTTCTCGACTCTTCATTGTTAGTTGTACAGTATATTATGTGGTTTTCTTCTTTTCTCTCTCCGAGTGTTTTAGATCTCTTCATCTTCTTTGTGGTTTTCTGGTTTGATCTCTGTAATATCTTAATGGTATTTTCTGATTGTACTTGGTGTATAATTTAGAAATTGTGAGAAGAGGGATTTGTGTGAGAGAGGCGAAAGAAAACTTTAAGTGAAGAAATATTTCTTCATACATTTCTGTACTGTTCTTTGTGGTTTGTAGTGGATTCGAGCATAATCTACTTTGTAGATACTTAACGAGTGAGTTGACCTTTGGCTGAACATCCGGGCCTTAAGGGAAAAATTCCGTGTGTTCTTTTACTTTCTGCAATTTTACCTCACTGCCAACATTTTTGGTAAACTTTGATTCTAAGACCAAGAAGTGGTATCAGAGCACTCTTTTGAAAAGGGGTTAGGGTTAATAATAAATTGCAGATCTTAACGTTTTTTAAACCCTTGGATATTTCTTGAAAACAAATTGTGTTTTCTGATATTTCTTGGTTGCTATTTTCTTTTGATTCAATTCTTGATTGGATTCCTTTAAAATTTCTTGATATACTTAGTGTCTAATTATCAAGTTTTTTGAATCGATGGTGTTTTTTGTGAAAAACGAACTAGTTTGTCACGGATCTGTAAAAATCTAGTATTTTTCATTGAGTTTTTTGTGCTCTAGGTTTTACTCACTACTGAGTTGTGGTCCCTTGAGAACTCGTTTAGTGAGTTGATTTGACTCACCCCGATTGCTGCTGGTTTTCTTAACTCGCTACTGGTCACACCGAGTTACTGTGACTCATTGGTTCTCTGTGCAATATTCTGGATATCTGAATCGATTCTAGTATTTTCTTACAATACTTTTTTTTCTGAAACATTGAGGTTTCAGCTCTGGTATAATTCTACGTACCCATCTTATTTTTCAGTTAATTATTAAACAGTTCTTTGTCTATATTTGATTTGGTTATTAAGGTAAGTAATCATCCTCTACTTTTTTTTGTCCAATATCTCTTTCGAGGATTTTGGGAATCTGACGGAGTAGGGGGAATTAAGGATTACCACTCCTTAAACCTGTTAAATTGACGATTTAACTCGATAAAATTGCCCTTGTTGATCAATTGCTTATCTTGATATAATTTTGTAATATTTGAATTTTACCTTTCTTTCACATTGTCTGTATCTGCTATCTTGTGTGGTGTATAAACTTGAGTTTGTAAGTTCATCTGCAATCATGACCACTTCACATAAATTTGAAGTAGAAATTTGGAGAGGGACTGGATATTTTAGTCTGTGGTGTCAGAAAATGTGGGCTCTATTATTACAACAGAGGTGTGTTGCTGCTAAGGGCGGACCCCAGGAAGAAAGTTCAGTGAGGGCGAAACCAAAAAACTTTGAAAAAAAATCTGAAAACCTAAAAAAATTTGGACAAAAAAACTAAAAAAATTTGAAAATCTGAAAAAAAATCGGAAAATTTGAAAATTGAGTAGGGGCGGCGGCCCCCACTGAACCTCAAGTAGGTCCGCCCCGACTGCTATCATTGATGGGACTTGAGGTACTGAATTTAGTGTTTATAGAAGACACGAGTTAGATGAGATTGCTTGGAGTTCAATATTTCTTCATCTATATACTGTTATTAGAAAGGTTGGGGAAACTACTAATACAAAGGGTCTTTGGACCAAGCTAGAATCTCTCTATCTAACTTTGATTCTGAGACCCAAAAGTGCCATCTCCAGCTAATTGAAAAGCTGCCTGTCGAATCTGATTACAAGTTCTATTCAAGCGCTTTATCAAGGTCAAGTGATGAACTATTATTTTATGGAAAAATCAGCAATCATGGCATTAAAATTTGGATGCTTCCTATGGGTGAAAATGGCTACAGACGCCCTTCCACCATACCTAAAACAGAATGGAGCCTAGTTCATACAACGACTTTAGATTCCCTTCACAATGACTGTGCAGCAGTTAGTCGTATGCAGGTTCACGAACATAAGGAAGCATGTATGATATCCTTGAGCCAATGGAATTCACTAATGATAATTTTTTGTATTGGCGAAACTATCTCTCTCTATAACATAGAGAGCAAGTCGATGGAGTTAATTCAATATCAATATTGAAAACAAAGGAGGAACGAG